CTATTTGATTCGCACTGCCAAGTTTTACAGGCTGATCTGAGTTTGGTCTGCATTTGAGTGAATGAGGGAGGGAGAGGGGTGGCTCTCTCTTGATCCGCTTCTATGTTCATAGTGTCTCTGGTGCGTTCATAGTCCAATCTGTAGTTTAAGCAAGAGCCCAAAAGCCAGCAAAAATCCAAGCTGGGGGATTTGGCTGCCGGTAAGATAGAGGGAAGTTTACCATAGTTTATTTACACATACTACTCACATTATTATGATAAAACTGGGTGAAAATCTGCAGATTATCCCTTGAACTTTTTATTTAAGTTTAACTGTAGGCTATGGTAGTGAATCTGTATCAGTGTAATGATGTTTAGTTTTGTTTGAGGTTTAATACCAAAAGAGAAATCATTCTCTCTACATCCGCATTTGAAGGTTGTTTTTGTTTTCATCAACCACCTGACCAGCTGAGTCCCTCTTATGAAATATTTGTGATGCCAAATTCAGCACCTCAGATCATTTTTGCCAGCATTTGGCAGCTACCTGAAAGAGATACAAAGACGCAGACTATTGAGAATGAACAGAGACCAGACCGCTTGAGAAATACAAAGAGAGACAGAGAACAAACGCCCAAACTGACCTCCACTTACTGGAGGTTAAAAAAAAAACAAAACAAGCGTCTGTTTGCACTTTTCTGAGTGTCCCTGTCTACATCAGAAATGTTTCCCCCTGTCATGACACAGCCTGGTACTCAAATCCAAAGTAAAGATAACTTATTGATTTTGTCTCTGACTGTGCTTTGTACACATCAGGTTTCTCTGGTGTTGTTTGCCTGTCCATTTGTCTGTTTGTCTGTTTCTGCGTCTGTTAGGAAGCAAACACATCTGAACCACGAATGCAAAACCACAGAATACATCTTAATCCCTGTTAAATATGGGGAGCTGCTTACACATATCATTCATGAAGTTTTCATGAGGTATCCCAAGGATGTCTCCTGCGTGACAGCCTGCAGGGATTTACGTACATTCAGGGCCCTCACTTGAGAATTTATGAGTGAGGTGGGAGCAGTGGCAGTCATGTGGAAGTGGAAACGTGACATGCAGCTTCCCCACTGAATCATTTCGGACATGGTATGTGGAGAGGCCAATCTCATCTATCTCAGCAGCAGCAGTGGCGCTGGGTTACATCAGAGCCAGTTTGGAATCTAGCATATAGGTATGAAATGGACTACGACTAAAACATGGCACCAGCACAGCATATATTTCTTAAAAGTTTTCCATAAAACCTGACATAACTTACAAGAAGCAAGTCATTTTGTCAAAAAGGGATGTAACAACTTCATCATAAGTAGCCACCTGAGGTTTATCTTTAGGAGCTAACGCTGTTTGTGAAGTGATTTTGTGTGCATTGACACTGTATCTGTGTGGACCCAGAGAGCCACACATGGATGGATTACTGGACAGGCTACTGGGCAAAGTCCCAGGGGGCCAAAGTGTCAGGGGCCCCCTGGCCTTCACCGGCAAAATGTCAGTCGAAGAGAAACGTACCAACCATGAAAAGGCTCAAAATGACCACAAAGACACATAAAGCAACTAAAAAGAGACACAAAGAGATGCAAAACAGCTGAAAAGAGATGCAAAGAGACTCGCAACTACAAAAAAGGGCAAAACAACCACAAAGAGACATGAAATGACTGTAAGGAGATGCTAAGCAAATAAAGAGACACAAAACAACTACGAAAAGATGCAAAATGACAACAAAAAAGGGGCAAAACAATCACAGACACATAACGAGTACAAAGAGACACAAAGCAACTACAAAGAAACACAAAACAACTACAAAGAGACACAAAATGACTACAACAAGGGGCAAAATAACCACAAAGAGACATGAAATGACTATAAAGAGACAAAAAGCAACTACACAGAGACAGAACATGACTACAAAAGGGGCAAAACAACCACAGACACATAAAGACTACAAAGAGACTCAAAGCAACCATAAAGAGACACAAAACAACTACAAAGAGACACAACATGACAATAAAGAGACATCAAATGACTACAAAGAGACACAAATAAGCCATAAAGAGACACAAAACAACTACAAAGAGACACAACATGACAATAAAGAGACATCAAATGACTACAAAGAGACACAAAGCAAACATAAAGAGACACAAAACAACTACAAAGAGACGTAATATGAGTACAACATGGGGCAAAATAACCACAGACACATAACGACTACAAAGAGACACAAAATGAGAACAAAAAGGGGCAAAACAACTACAAAGAGACATGAAATGACTACAAAGAGACACAAATCAGCCATAAAGAGACACAAAACAACTACAAAGAGACGTAGTATGAGTACAAAAAGGGGAAAAATAACCACAGACACATAACGACTACAAAGAGACACAAAATGACTACAAAAAGGGGCAAAACAACTACAAAGAGACATGAAATGACTATAAAGAGACACAAAACAACTACAAAGATACGTAGTATGACTACAAAAAAGGGGCAAAACAATCACAGACACATAACGACTACAAAGAGACACCAAATGGCCACAAACAGACACAAAACAACTACAAAGAGACACAAAATGACAATAAAAAGACATGAAATGACGACAGAGACACAAATCAACCATAAAGAGACACAAAACAACTACAAAGAGACGTAATATGACTACATAAAAGGGGCAAAACAATCACAGACACGTTACGACTACAAAGAGACACAAAATGGCCACAAAGAGACATGAAATGACTACAAAGCGACACAGAGCAACCATAAAGAGGCACAACACAACTACAAAGAGACACAAAGCCACAGAGGCTAAACAACTAGAAAGTCTGTGTCTCTTACTCCTATATGTGAGAGGTGGAGGGGCCCTCTGCATGTCTGTGCCCAGGGCTCCACTGTCTCATAATCCGCCCGTGGTGGCACATGTTTGTATGTGTGCACTTTACAGCAGCAGATATCATCAACTTATTGACAGTTTATCCTAAAACAAAATGAAGATAAAATGCTGGAGAATCAGTTTGTTGACTCAGTTTCACACTCGGTGTATATGTGACCAAAACAGCAGTGTTTACCCACCAGCATGGTAAAACAGGTTCAGCAAATAGCTGATGGCATGGTTCAAGGCCTCAGTGAGGCTACAGACGGACTGAAGGGTCAGTGGACACGCATAAACACAATTGAGAGTCTTATAAAGTACATGTAAAATAATCCTATCATACATGTTAGAATGATTGCAGACGGTTACCACACCAACATCCCCCCAAAAACATGAGGGGCAATATGACCTTTCAACAACCAATTACTTAATTCACTGTAACTACAACACTATAAGTAACTGCTGAGGATGACAGACTGACAATGCCCATGGTTAATTCCATTATAATGTGAGAATACTGTTGTGCCCTTTTGTGAAGAGTTGCCCCATCTGCACTCAGACTGCAGGAACAGTGTGTTCAGGGTGACTCAAAGTCAGTGTGTCTCTGTGTCTGCTGTGTCTCTATACCGGGGTCCAGGGAGCCTCAGGTGTCTGAGATGCTCCCAGCAGCTGGAGTCATCTCACTAATGATCTCATTTGCTTATTTCATCCTGTCATATAGTTTCCAGCTCTTATAATAAACAAAGCCCTTCTTAGATGAAAGGTATTCCTTATAATGTCTTTATCTATTGTGCTGCCTGCTATTATGGACACCTAATGACTTGGTGATGGAGCAGCATGCCATGCTCCAGCCTTGTGAGGATGGAGCCCCGTGTCTTGCACCATAGTACAATGTAATTGGTCGAGGGATGATGAATGCAACGCCGCATTTTCCAGCGTAGTAAATGAGCAAGAGGGTCAATTCATGCCCTGGCCATTAGCAGGCATGGTGAAACAAGACATCTGTAGTCACCTACCTTTTGATTCGCAGTCAGCGCAGTATTTGTTCTCCTCCAGCGCCAGTAAAGAGTTGAGGACAGTCTGGTATCTGTCAACGTCTTTTACAGATTTGCCCGTCATCATCGCACCGGTCCACCTCCTCCACAGCCCCTGCAGTCCGTGACCGGCTTTGTCAAACAGCCGCTTATTAAGAAAAATTAAAGCAGTGTGTGTGAGTGTGTGTGTGTAGAGCCGATGCGATTGGTTCCTCCTCCTTCTCCTCGATGTAGAGCAGGGCGAGTTTGTTTCACCAAGATGGGATGACTGCCTCTCAGCCAACCAGCATGCGGGTTATTCGAGGTGCAAATACTAATACTAATCAAGACGCAACGTGGAGGAAAAACACCATGCGACTGCCAAGCTTCAAAATGTGAGATCGGCTTCAAAGCGCATCTGTAACCTATCAGTGATTGGTACTGAATCATCCAGCCCTCTCTCTCTCTGTCTGTCTCTCTCTCCTACACATACACACACACCTGCGCGCGCGCACACACACTCTCTATAATACATTGTTGTCCAAATACAGCTGCAAAAAGTCCCAATATGTGCATGATCTCTCCGCTATATATTTTTTATGTATATATATTGTTATAATATATTTTTAAAGTTGCATTTCCCTGCTTTATAAATAAATGTTAGGCCGTTTGGTTTATTCTACTGTCAATAAATTACATATACCGCCATCCTGTGGTCAATTATAAGAAGTTTTTGGGAAGTAGGTTTCAGTGTGGCCCTCAGTTCCCCTCCAAGACGCAAGGCGGCGATATAACAACCTGCAAAGAGACAGTGAGACAGCTGACTGACTCAAGCCACTAAGTAAAGTGAAGCAAATATACCGGAAACAGAATTATTGTGTCGTCAAAATAAAGCGCATAATGTGTTTCTAACCTAAAAAGAGAACACTCTGTGCAGGAAAGTGATAACAACAGTAATTTGCTTTTATTTACAGTTTCTTTTCTCAAATACGTTGCTTCTTTTAACATATATTTTTTTATATTACTCGACATTTCCTCTCAATAATTATTTTATTCCGAAGCACAACCGGAAGTGCACGTCTAAATCTAGCTGGTTTGACATGAGTGGAAGTGCGTGACTGAAGGGGTGATTACGGAAATAACTGCTTAGCCAGAATCAAATAAATAAAGGATTAATATCGAGTCGCCACCTGTGTCAGCCTGTAATACTGTCCACAATGTCCAGGCAATCCAACCGAACAACAGACAGCAAGAAGATGGTAGGCGAATCCCGCAGGATTAACATCAGTCAAAACCTAGCTAGCATAGCTAGCGAAAATGCTAACCGTAGGCTACTAGCTACCATAACATCTGTCTACATTATATATCTTCGAGCTTAGCTACTTGACAGTCGTGCATCTTTGTTTGGCAAGTGCGGCTGTAACATGAAGAGCATTTAAACTAGTTGAAGTAGTATTTCATTCATTGTGTAACACGACTGGCTTTGACAGGAAGTGTAGTTCGTCGTAGCACAGAAGCTAAGCAGTTAGCCTCCGTAGCTGTGCAAACATTTAAGATAACTCTCCAAATGCAATACATAATATGCAATTATATCAAACATGCATATGTAACGTTACAGGTCTGTTATCATGTTCAACTATGAGGCAGTTTTATTAACATTGTGAAAGTAGTTGCATCACAGTTTGACAGCTGCAGTGAAGACATGAGCCTTTGGTTTGAACACTTAATATCATTATACATTAAGGTGATTAAAGTGTATATAAATTGCATTTTATTAATAATTTAAAAGCAAATGTTTAATTACTGTTGTCAGACATTTCAGCACCAGGAACTGTCCTTAGCATTAGATAATAATAGTAGACGTTCTGATGCAGATAGTAGCCCTGTATGTTTTCACAGCTCTCTCCACATTGAATATATTGATTATTAGATGGCAAATTAATGGAGGTTTTTAAACACACACTTTGTCCAAATATAAGGTCTTTCACAAACTGAAGTGGGGCAGTGAAGTTATAAAATATATGTTATGTTATATATGACCTTGTTATCATTTTTACTACTGGGCTACTGGTTATTATTTAAATGTTTTTTTTAAAACTAATTTTACTAAGATGCTTTCTGCTTTATTCATCTTATCCTTGAGGTTAACTTTGTGTTATAATATGTAAGAAGAACTGAAACATTTTTCTCCTGACCTGTTGTTGTAGATGTACGTATATGTTTTTGTTTTCGATAATTAAAGGATCTTTATTATTATGCTAATTAATATTCATTGCAACAAAATACTTTGCCGCATTCTAGTGGTTAAATGTTTGACACCCTTAATCCAGTGTGATTTGTTTCATTTTATCAGCACAAATAATGTGAGAATTCTCTTGTTTTCTCTGTTGTAGAACTCTGAGCTGTTCACCCTGACCTACGGGGCCCTGGTCACCCAGCTCTGTAAAGACTACGAGAATGACGAGGAAGTCAATAAACAACTGGACAAGATGTAAGTATCCCCACTGACTGTCATTAGCTGTGTTCACACCCAACTGTACTTGAGAAATAGTGTAGATACCAAGCAAGTGTGCCAGATTTGCTGGTGCAAACAAACAAACAAATAAATAAATATCCATTCATGATTTATTTTATTTCATCATAATGTAATTTCTTTTGTTTTATTAATTGTGTGGCTCTTTTATTTACCAATAAACATCTGTTTTCACCCACTTTTATAATTTAATGCATCATTATCAGCAAAAGGTTTAATGTAAAACTAGATGTAGGCTAGTCTAATAGCAGATACTTGTGCTTGTCAGTTCCAATCACTTTAATAACTAAGCTGGTGGAACTTCTTATGGGCATGTAGCAGCAAGGCTTCAGTGTCACAATATATGTCACATACCACCTTCAAATGTCCAGCAAAATATCACTACCAGACCATACTGAAGTAACCTACAATACTGAATATATTGTACATGAACTATTACAGGATGCAGCCCTGCTGTGCACGTCCATATTGGGTACATAAAAGGAGATGCTTGCTTCAATATGTTTAAATTGATCTTTTTTTATCCATTAATGAACAGAAGTGATGTGATTTTTCTAGCCTGTCGAATGTCTCCCTGTAATTCACACTTTCACACTGCTGTCCTGTTCATTATGTATGTAGGCACAGAGAGATGGCATAATCAGGTTCCTTTTCTCACACTCCTGTGTCAGAGGTTACCCTCAGCTCTTGTAGCTTCTTAGCACACATGGGGTGTTTAAAGGAGAGCACACTGATGTTTTTTATGAGAGAAAAAAAAATGTCTGGAACGCAATGCCGGATCCCGTTCTCCCACAAAATAAGATTAAGAGAAATCGATGGGTTTATAACTCAAAAATTCAAGTCATCCCGTCACGCTGACAGGACTTTGGACTGGATGTGCTTTGCTTTCCTGGTTGTGCAGCAACCTTAAGCTCTCTCCAAGCCAAGTCATGATGAGACTTGTCTTACCTGGCCTTAGAAGGCAGTGAGTGTGCATTGCCCACTCCGCTTGCTGGCCGCCAACTGGTCAGAGGCAGACCATGTTAGGAACGGGACGCATCAGTTGGCTTTAGATTCTGTAGTTAGGATAAATTGACTTGACCGTCTAATCATAATTATCATCATTTGCCAAGTCTGTGACCCAAAAATGTTCGGAGCATTTGGACCTGTCCTCTGTCTCATTACTGTAATTTTTCCTCTGTACTTTTCTTCAGCTGTGAAGGGAGAGAATGACTTTATCTCTGCTTCTCTTGCCTCTCTTTCTCTCTTTCATAGGGGTTATAACATTGGAGTGCGTCTGATCGAGGACTTCCTGGCACGCTCCAGCATCGGCAGGTGTCAGGATTTCCGAGAAACAGCCGATGTCATTGCTAAGGTAATTGGACTTTTCCAAGCCAATCAGAGCGTGACGGTGGACTTCTCCCAAAGATGGGAGGGAGAGGGAGAAGGAGGGATGACAGAAAAAGAGAGATTAGCGAGAGAAGTTGATAAAACATCCCAACAATTGATAATGGAAAGAAGGGGAGGATGTTGGGGAAAACTGCTGATTGTGACTGAGTAGATCAGAAAATGTCCCAGTCTGCGGCCTCCTAAACTTGAAGCCAAGATAGCAGTCTACGTCGCTTGACATGATTAGTTACCTTGATAGTCAGAAGGCGAGGATTCACTTACATGTGGAATGAAATGTAATCTCATCCGTCAGCAAGGTGATACACATTCAGTGATACCCCTTCTCTGTTTCACTGCCCAGGTGCTGGTAGTTAAGCTTTAAAACAACCATAGCAGACATATTAATGTCTCTCTTGTTATTTACTGAATCACCTGGCCGATCATGTTACTCTAAGGATATGTTGTACTTCCATTTTCCTCTCTGTATTTATCCCCAGCCTGTGGATTTGTAACATATCCTTGTCTGGTTTTGCAAAAGTCCGACTCCCCTCATGATTGATGGACATAAAGATGCATGCGGACAGTGAAAGCTGCTCTCAGGCCTGAGTGTATGTTCAGCGCTCCAGCTGTTTTCAAGGTGTTACTGCTGCCTGCTCGGGGAGTCATTCCACAGATGTAACCCCACACTAGCTCAGGGAACTGGCTCTCGGTCATGAGGAGAAGGGTCGTGTCTGTAAATGGAGGACCACTGTGGGACAGCGGTTTGGAGGGTGCCTTGATAGCCTTGCCCGAGGATATCATGTGACCTGTAGTTAAACTCTGACCACCTCAGTCATTGGTCAATAAAATATATAGTATATGAGGGAGGTCAAAAACCGAATTTTGAGATCATGACTTTGTTTTTCTTGGAAGACAACATTTATTCACACCTCTTAAGCTGTAGAGTTATTAACTAATATTCTGTTTTCAGTGTTTCTAAAAATACTGGCAAAGTCAAACCATTTTACATATTTTAAAAAAACACCCAGTGTCACTGAACATTTTCATTGCTGTGACTTCAGTTTCACAAGCCTGGGTGAGCTTTGATTTGTGCATGCGTGAGAAAGTATGCCGACATCACAGGGACAAAGTGCTGCGGAAGAACAGAAGCAACAGACATCAGGTGTGTGTGCATACAGGATCAGGCTGTTCAGCTAAATCAAACTGAGAAATCCTGCACTGTTTCCTTTTTTTCTAATTCACTCCTCGCCGTATTGTGGTTGCTGTAGGTCGCATTTAAGATGTACCTGGGAATCACCCCCAGTGTGACCAACTGGAGCCCTGCAGGAGATGAGTTCTCCCTCATTCTCGAGAACAACCCACTGGTAGATTTTGTGGAGCTGCCGGATAACCACAGCACGCTGATCTACTCCAACCTGCTGTGTGGGGTCCTCAGAGGAGCCCTGGAGATGGTATGGTCAACATCCATCACTGTACATTTAAATTAAACTTAAAGTCAATTGATTTTTTTGTGTAACTTTGCAGCAATTTCACCAAGAGTGCAAAGAATTGTAAGCTTTTTTTGTGTCTGATTCAGGTCCAGATGGCTGTGGATGTGAGATTCGCTCAAGACACTCTCAGAGGGGACAATGTGACAGAAATCCGCATGAAGTTTATCAAGAGGATCGAGGAAAATCTCCCAGCAGGAGATGAGTGATGGAGACAGAAAGCTTCTTCACTCAACTTCTCATGTCTCATTTCGGGAGGACGAGGAACACCTTCACATACAGACTGAGAAGACGCATGAACTGTAGGCAAAACTTCAACACTCTTCAGTTTCTAGTGTCTTTGTTGTTGGGAGAATAATGCTAGGAATTAGAAGAGACTATTGAGATTCGAGAGGAAAGAAACACTGTACACTATTGAAACACAACACGACATCATAACATGGCCCTGCTATCTGGAACATCTTATGAGTAAAAAATAAAAAAGAAGCTCCTTGGCACTGATCTGTGGTCCAGTTTGAGGGGAAAGTTTTTGTAGTTCTGTGCCTGAATGGCAGCTGTTGCTGTTGATGAGAAGAGAATGCCTTGGACCATTTATCCGTCACCATGAAAGTCACTTTTTTTTTTTTTCATTTATTATAAAAATAATTGTTGGGTTTCTTTGAAGAATGATGTCTTTTCATTTGGTCATGTGTTGACTGTTTTTTTGTAGCGAGGCTGGAAACCCTTACATCATGTTTTAATGTTTGTCTTGTTTAAACGTTTTGTTTTTTAAGAAATCACACTCTATATTGCTGCCAATTATATGGCATGTTAATTTATGTTGGTGGATGTGTCAAATAAAAGTGACATATTTGATGCGATGCTTTTCTCATGTGTTTGTGACAGCGGAGAGACTCACAGTTTGCCTGTTGGGCAACCTGGAACAGTTTTACCTAGTCACACACACACACATATACACACACTGAGTCCTCTGTACCACCTTGTCAGTTCTGCTTTAGTGTACTGTGTGAGCGTTACTCCTTTGGAGCACCGCAGTCACCCAGCAAAGGCAAACAATAACAGACCTAATGCCTCTCTTATGTTTGTTCAGGGTACATGGAAGCAATCTGTGTGTGGGTGTGCGTGTGTTGTGTGTGTGCAAAGAAACGGCAGGCTGCCTTACTAAAACTCACCAGTTCATGGTTCTGGTTGTCACACCTGTGAATGGCTTTACATCACCCCGAAGTAATGAACAGAACTTCTCATTTAGACCGGCTGCACACCTCGTCAATAACTGAAAACACAGGCGCCCATTCACACACACACAAACACACTAATCATCCCTGGTCTTTCTTTAAAAGCGAAAATCTGGTCTGGATACCACGAAAACATTAGCCATGTTTTTCTTATTCTTTGTCTTTTTTTTGTTTTATTGTGTAACAGAACAATAACATTAGTACCAAACTCACGAGTCTGCTGAAAGCACTTAAGAGGATGAGATTGTCAGATAAGGATTTCCTTTTGGAGAAATCTGTCAGCTATTAGCTGCTGGAAACCTTCAGGCTCTACACATTTCTATTTTACAGCTGCTATTACATGAGCCCATTTCTGCTTTTACAGCTTTAGAATTCAGGCACTTGAAGTAAAGTTCTCCACAGAGCCACCAGAGGTTGCTATGTACATGACGTTCCACAGCTGCAGGCAGCATCGTTCCCAGTGCAAGGCTTAAGTGGGTATTGTGGGAGTTAAAGCTGGAGCTGCCAGAAAACATAAATAAAAGGTTCATTTTCAGATTATGAATATGGGAAGAGCAGACAATTCGCAGTAGTTGAGCGGAGTGTCCAGTGCCAATTTATGGACTCTAGCTTTGATTTGGCTGGAGATTAGACAAACGATGACAACATGCAGTCTTTGTGCTTTGTAATGCCGGGGAAGATGTATTAGGATGGGATTTCTCAGTGTTATTTACTGTCTTTAGCCTCTGCCCACTCCTGTCTGGGGTAGTGCTCATTTAAAGGGATAAAGAGTGGAAAGTGGAAGCACCCCGACGACAGCCGTCGGCTTGCAATAAGCCCGCTGGGCCATTAGGCGAGCTCTCAGCGCATTACGTGCACATATCTATGCACCCTGTAGGCCTGTGATGTGGATGTTGGATGGAGAGTGGGCAGGAAATAGTTTTTGTGCAGAAGCTCGATGTAAATGACTTGGCAGAATTAGAGCCGTGTACCTGGGGGATGGACGGACAGCTGGCTTTGTGTACTTGTGAAAACCTGTATCACTCTGCCATATGCTCACAGGAATTTGACTCGACAAACACACATGCACGCACGCTGTACATGGAGGCCAAGGTGAGGGTGAATTTATTACAACCACTGTACTCACAGATAGGTGTTAATACACACTAGAAGGACCTTGTCCAAACACGCCAACAGGTCATTTTGTGTCTCCCACCACTTAAAGGTCCACCAGTATGTCTAGTGAGAGTTTTGTGTTGATTGTTTTCACTGTTTTACCCATTAAACAAGAAGGTATTAAGACTACAAACTAACTAACGCTCTGTTATGACTTCACTCCTCATAACCTGTCCATCTGTGATTCCTATTTGCGAGCCTGCAGATGTTGTGGCAGAATGAAAACACAAGGAAGAAAAAAAAGATGTTGTTGTGGAGGCACTTAAGACTCTCTCTCTCCGAGCCATGAGGAATTGCTTCGAAGATGCTATTTTTATCTGTTGTCTAGGAGAGTGAAATTTCCCATCACTTATATTTCACTTGGAAACAGTTTGGTGTCTCGCGTCTGCACACACATTGTTTTTATTTTGCTTTATTTTAGTATATGTTATCATCATTAATGTTATTTATCGCAGCTGCCTATATTTTTGAGAAAACTTTATTAGGACAGGCCTAGAAAACAAGTAGCAAATGTTACGGGCCCGAGACAACGTGCGCCGATCTGCTTTAAGCCAGCTAAACGTTTCCATGTGGCCTTTATGGGAAACAAATGGTGAAAGGCACGCTGTGACAGTAAAGCCCAGCGCACAGCCTGGTATTGACCTGCACTTACTGAATACCGCATCCCTTTCTTCTACCTCCACTCCATCAATTTCCATCCACCGCTTCTCTTAGTTTTCCCACTTTGTTTTGATCATCCCTGCTTTCTTTCCATTTTCTTAGTCTTGGTAATGTTTTGCTGATGTGCTCAAGGAAAAAGCCAGCAGTCTCTAAATCAAACAAAAGGATGTGTGATAGTCTTTTGGAAATGTCCCGCGCCTGATGGGAAATGTGTTGTCTCTCAGGTGAGGTAAGGACCGGCTGACGATGCAGTCACCCGGGATTTCCAGAGGTTTCCAGAGTGTGTTTTGTGTCTGGTCAGTGGAAAGAGTGGAGATGACAGCAGGATGGACAGCACTCTTTGACAAGAGAATGCAGTGAGTCAGCAAACAAGTGTGCTCATGGTAAAAATCCCAGACGGACTGAATAATGTTCCCGGGCAGTGAAGCGGTGGGAAGAGGTGGTTGATTTAATGAGCGTGTCTCTGGTGCGCACCTGAAAAGATGCTCACATGAACACGAGAGTTGTTACATAATTCACAGGATCTACACTTGTCTGCTCAAACACATCCTGTTGTCTGGGGTGAAAGTGAGAGTTTAGTGGTTTGAGGGGATGTTCGTTTGGGATCTATGTGCATAAACACCAGTAAATAAACGTGGATGTGGTTTTGAGGGGTAATTATGAGTTGATTTGGTATTCAGTCACATTATGTACCCACTGAAATCTGCTACAGCATCTGCAAGCCATTTGGAATATGAATCATCACCCACTTCCAGACAAACTGTTGAGCACTTCCTATAAATCTAATAACTCATGCATTGCTCAACCGTTTAGCACGGACCACACATCCAATAGAAAGTGAGAAGTTTTTAGGCCTCCCGAAGTTATGTTTGGGTCATCAGGATTGTTGGCAGGAAGGGTGAAATAAGAAACAAAACGAGTGAAACACACCTCTCCAAGCTCAAAAATAAAAGCATGGATCAGATCCAGCTAACCCGTTCAGTGAAATCCTGGATCACCAGTGTCACAAGGGATTCGTGTTAACAAAGAAAACATCTTTTCAACAGGAAGACATGTCAGGTTGAAGTTGGTCCAAAGCTGGGTCTCTTTTCTGTCTCGGCAGTGACCTGGCCTGTTCCACAAGGGTTTCAGCCGGAGCCCTGGACGACGCCGAGCCATTTAATGCCTTGTTTTTAGTTTTTCCTCCTTCCCTTTCTTCCAGGCTTTTTGGATGGGAGCTGCTAAGCTGCCTTCACTCTGCTTCCAATTTCCTCTTGCTCTTTTGTTCTTCCTCTTTTCTCCAGGATCTGATGAAGAGGAGTTTTTAGACGTTCCTGATGATACAGGTTTTACCCGTTCCAGATCCTCTTTATCTTTCAGCCTCATTTTCCCACAATATGCTCAACTTTTGTCTTGTTTTTCTCCCTCTTTTCTTCCCCTTTTTCCTGACCCCGCAGCCGTTCGAACTGGAGTTTATGTAACAGCGGCAGAACTTTCCAGCTTGGAACGGCCTCACTTGAAGATGGAGCAAGGAGAATGAGTGGGAGAGAAAGAAAGAAAAAAAAAAGTGTCATGTAATATTACACTGGCGAGCGCTAAGGGCAAACGGCACCTCACCTTCGACTTCATTATTCCAGGGCCTTTTCCTCTGCATGCACATATGTAAGCATATATTTATATCACTCTCCCAGGCAGTTACAAATACGTTAATTCCAATTGAAAAGCAGGAATGTGAAAGTCCTGGTTTGCCCTGGACTAAAATCAAACCAGGCTTCCCTCCCAGAGCACAGGACTGCCTGGAGGCTGCACACCAGCTGCACTGGACGGGATATCACCGCTCACCACTGCCAAGCATGAACTGTGTGTGTGTGTCACATTAAAATTTTGGAGTGACAAAACACACACCATATATTGATTAGAGCGAAGCACTTCTGGTGACGCATGTCTCCCCAGCAGGTCATCTATTTAACTCTTAAAGCATGACATCCGAGCTAATATCACTGCATAAATCCAGACACTAGCCCAAAGGCTTTATGTCTTCAGCAAGTCATTTATTGTCCGCCCACTTCAAGCATCTTCACCGCTAGTCAAAGTGATTGTAAGGGGTCTGGATGTCCTATTATGCAGGCTAGACATTTCAGTCTATGAGTATGACTTTCCATATAAAACACCTCAAGCTGTCACAGTGGAGAAGACTGACTGGAATCTGACGGGTGGAGGTTCATGAAAAATTCCCATAGTGGGAGACGCGTGATGGGGCATTATGAACTATATTTCCTTTCAACTTTTGTATGAATTTTATCTTTGAAATGTTTCCAAAGAAAATTAAATGTACGTGTTCAATAAAGCTTAAATGTTGACCCGTATCACTGTCAATTAAACACATTCAATTCAAGGCTTTGAAGAAATCAGGCAAGTGTAAAGATGAAAAAGAAATGCACTTGGGAATATTTCAGTCCACTAAAAATTACTGCACAGCTATGGGTTCCCTCATTAGCATTAGAGCTGTTACTTTCCCAGACATTAAAGCTTGAAAGAAAAAGTAACCCATCATTTCCTCAGATTAAGCCCAGTCCAAAACTAGGTTGTATAATAGACTTTGCTCCATCCATTCAATTCAGTGGTTGGTGTTGTTCATTCAGCATTCCTTGCAAGCTCCCCACATTTTGTGTTAGTGAAGAGACTAACAATTGGGAACATGAGCCATTTGTTTCCAACATTTAAACAATACTTGGAATTTTGAATAAAACGTGATTCCTGAAACTACCATAACAATAGACATAGGACATTTGTGGGACATTGTAGTGGTCATATGAATTGCAAACAACAGT